TATATATATATATATATATATATATATATATATATATATATATATATATATATATATATATTATATAAATGCAGTTGTTAACATAACCATCAGCATGTATGCAGTTTCAGGTTTTATTGTTTCTTCCGGCAGTGCATGCATTTGGTTTACTCAATGCATGCATTTACAACTAATATGATGTTAATGAAAGTAAACACATTACCTCTTATTCCCTCATTTAGCTGTCTGTTGTACAAGTCCCCCCCTGCAGCAGCAGCATATACACAGCAGTAGCAACAACAACGCTTCACTGCAGGCATATATATATATATATATATATATATATATATATATATATATATATATATATATATATATATATATATTATATATATAATATATATATATATATATATATATATATATATATATATATATATATATATATATATATATAATAAGGTGCGTGGAGTGTACGTACCCCGTGTTTTGGGTGTGTTGGTGTGTACAGAAGCGGCAGGCGGAGCTGAAGGAGCAGCTGAAGGAGATGCACCGCAGCGTGGAGACAAACGAACAACAAATAGAAGAGTTGTCTTCACAGGTTAAACGCCTAGAGGGGAAATTAGCTGCAACTAATAACGTCGCTACGGCCCTCGGAGAGGCCAGCCAGTAAGCCGCCACACAGCAGACGCTTCTCGTTACCTGTGCGCTGCAGCAGCAGCAGCAGCAGTAGCAGTAGCAGCAGCAGTAGCAGTAGCAGTAGCAGCAGCAGTAGGAGTAGTGGCGGTAGTAGTAGTACTAATAGTAGTAGCAGTGTCAGCTGCAGCAGCACCACCAGCAGCAGCAGCAGCAGCACTAGCAGCTGTAGCAACAGCTGTAGCAGCAGCAGTACCATTGTACTGAGTGTACTGACACAACAAGATCATTTGCTGCTTGCCCACTGCTGCTGCTGCTGCTGCTGCTGCTGCTGCTGCTGCTGCTGCTGTTTGCTGCAGCAAACTGATTGAGCTGGTGAAGAGCGGGGACCTCAGCAGAGAGGACAGCCAGGAGGCGGAGAGGAAAAGGGAGGAGCTGTTGAAACTGGTGAGGGCTTGATCTTGATAGACTGTATTGCAGTGCTGTCGTTGCTGCTGTTGCTGTTGCTGCTGTTGTTGCTGCTTTTCTGCCACTCTCAGGGCTGCTGCTGCTGCTGCTGCTGCTGTTGACGTTGCTGTTTTCTCTTGCTGCTACTTCTGCCGTTGCACGTTGTGCAGATGCTGCTTCTGCTGATACTGCTGCTGCTGCTGCTGCTGCTGCTGATTACGGGTTGTCGTATGGTGCTGGGTGTATTTGTTGCAATTTGCAGCTGGAGCAGGAGCGCCGGCATGCTGAGGCTCTGGCTGAGAGCATACAGCAGCAGCAATCTATAGAGGTAGAGCAGCGGGAATTCCAGGCCACTGCTGCTGCGCTGCAGCAGCAGCTGCAGCAGCAGGTGCTGTGTCTGCAGCAGCAGCTGCAGCAGCAAGAGAAGGAGGCTGAGGCAATGCGTCAGGAGTTATATCAGCAAGTAGAAAAAACAGATAAAGCCAAAGAAGATGTACAAACAGAGCTGCGCACCGCATGCAATCAGCTGCAGCAGCTGCAGCAGCAGCTGCAGGAGACAGCGCAGCAGAAGCGTGAGCTGGAGTTAGCAGCAACTGAGTGGGAGGCCCAGAAGACAGAGATGAGCAGACAGAAAGAGGAGACACAGGAGGCGTTGCAGGCCAAGGAAAGAGAGCTGCAGCAGGTGCAGCAGCGCATGCAGGAACTGATGCAGCAGATAGAGGAGTATGTTAGTAAAGAAGCAGCTTATATAGCAGAAGGAGAGGCATTGAGGGGGAATATAGGGGAGCTGGAGTTATCTGTACAGGCAGCAAAAGAGGAGACACAGAGACAGCTAGCAGAGAAAGAAGAAGACAGACGTCAGCTAGAGATAGCTCAACAAACAGCAATGGCAGTGCTGCAGCAGCAGATAGAACAGCTTAAACAAGAAAGAGCAGAAGCTATACTCAGCTCGCAGCAGCAGGAGACAGCAGCATTGGGCCATGAGTATGAGGCCCTGAAGGAGACAGTCAACAGCCTGAGGAAGCAGAATGCAGGTTTGTCAGCACAGCTGCAGCAGCTGCTGCAGCAGCAACAGCAGCAGCAGCAGACGCGCAGTGCGCAGCAGCAGGAGCAGCAGCAATGGCAACGCAAATATGAGGCCCTTCTAGGCAGCCTGGGGGAGGCACAAGATAGATATAAACACCTCGAGGTGCTGCTGCAGCAGAGCTACAAGGAGTCGCACAGGTCGCTGCAGGAGGCGCAGCAACAGCTGCAGCAGCTGCTGCTAAAAGACAGCAGCAGCAGCAGCAGCGAACAGCAGTTTAGCGCACGCAAGCAGCAACACGAACAGGGCGTCATGAGGGTGCATGTGGAGGTATCTGAGGTGAGAGGGCGGGATGCAGTTGCACCGCAGCCGCAGCTGAGGGAGTTGCAGCAGCAGGAAGATGCTCTACGCAGCTTGCTGCAGCAGCAGCAGCAGCAGGAGACACGAACAGATGCAGCAGAGACAGACAAACCGCTGCAGCAGCTCCTCGCATCTCTGCATGAGCAGAGACAGCAATTCGAGGACGCAGCAAACAAACAGAAAATACTGATGGCAGCGAATGAACGCATGCGTAGAGAAAACCAGTACCTCAAGGTGAGCAGAGACATATATCAGCAGAGGCATAACCCCTAAACCCTAAACCCTAGAACACAAGAGTCGAAGCGGGGATTAGGGTTTAGGGTTTAGGGTTTAGGGTTAGGGGAGCCGGATATTTGGGGGCCTTTGTACCCATGCACTGCCAGTAGAGGGTATTTGGGGTTTAGGGTTTACTGGTTAGGGTTTAGGGTTTAGTGTTTAGGGTTTAGGGTTTAACGCTGGAAAGGGATGGCCACTGGCGCTGCCTAGCTTCCTTGTCTTCTTGCTTTCGTGCACCTTTCCGTTCTCGTGGTTACTACTGCTGCTGTTGCTGCTGCTGCTGCTGCTGCTGTTGCTGCTGTTGCTGCTGCTGTTGCTGCTGCTGTTGCGTGTGCAGGCGGAGTTAGAGGAGCTGAAGAGTCTGGTGTTAACTGAGAGGGGGGAGGGTGGCGTAGCAAGCGTGCTGGAGTTGGTGCAGCAGCAGCTGCAGCAGCTAGCTGCTGCGTTCGATGCCTTCAAGAGAACAGAGGCGCAGCAGCTAGCAGACCTCAAGGGGGCTGTTGGGGGCCCCACACATATATTTAATGTTTCTTATCCTCCCTTTGTTATACCCCTGGTTAACGTGCATGAAAGCAAAGACGGAAACGACAAAACCATTAATATTTCAGGTGCAGCTCAACGCACAGAGAAGGAGATATACTAGAAACAACACACAAACAGGCAGACAGACAGCAGCAGTAGCAGCAGCAGCAATGGCACGCAGATAGCAGCAGCACCACCAGCAGCAGCACACAGGCAGCAGCAGCACACAGACAGCAGCAGCAGCAGCACACACACACCGCAGCACGACCAGCAGCAGCGCCAGTGTACAGGCAGCAGCAAGCACACAGCACCATCAGCAGCAGCAGCACACAGACAGCAGCAGCAACACACAGACAGCAGCAGCAGCAAACAGACAGAAGGTGCCGCTTACTTAACAGAGGAGGGGTTTTCTTACTGCAGCAGCACAAGCAAAGAAAGGAGACAGACAGTATGCAGCAGCAGAGACAGAAATAGCTGCAGCACGAGGAGAATATAAACAGAGGGAGCCAAAGGAGACAGTTAAAGAAACAAAAAAAAACACAAAACACAACTAGTCTTCATCTTTGTTTGTTTCTGTCTGCTTGTTATGTGTACTAGTGCCTCCGTCTTTGTTTGTCTGTCTCTGCTTATTAAACTTATTTTCCCTCTGTTTTTGTTTGTCTTGTTGGTAGCTATGCTGCTGCATTTGTTTCTGTTTGTTTATTTCTCTGTATTACACCTATCACTGACTTAGTCTTAATTTGTTAATTTAAAAAAATACATATCTACACATTCATACATTTCTATATGATAGCTTCTATAATATATATCTGTTGTTATAGTATATATATATATATATATATATATATATATATACTTTATTGCTGTTTGTTATAGGGATGCTGGACGTGCGTGCTGCATCGACTGGCGTTGTTAGTGGGGGGGGGTTGGGGGGCCTCCTGGGGCCCCGGCCGAATCTGCCGGCGTTGCAGGGTAGCCGCTTTCGTGAGTTTGTATCGCGCTGGTGTGATAGAGGTTACTGCTGCAGCGGCAGCAACGATGCTGCAGCAAACGCAGCAGTTTGCTGCTTAGGAGGAGACTGCACCGCAGCAGATACACAGGCAGACAACTGGCACACAAATACACAAGTCTTTGCGCCCACGTAAGCTACCCTAGCCTGCTGCTATTTCTATCGTTGCTGCTGCAGTTGGTGCTGCTGCTGCTGTTGCTGGTTCTGTTCTACTCCTCCTCTTTCCCTCATAACTACAGCTACTAGCGCCGCAGCTGCTGATACTATTGTTGCTGCTGCTGTTGCTGCTGCTGCTGCTGCTGCTGCAGATTAACAGCTATGGTGTCGTCATGAGTATTGTATGTTATCTCTGCTGCAGGGGGAAGGAGGAGGTGCAGGCCCTGAGGATGTGTGTGGGGCCCCCAGGCAGCGCGCCCCGGCTGGATGGGCCCTTTCAGCTCTCTGAGGTGATAGAGCTGCAGTCAAAGGATACAAACCCCAGCGGCAGCAGCAGCAAAGGCTGCAGCAACCGCAACAGCAACATTGCACCTGCTGCAGCGTACTGAACAGCCACCCACAGTAGCCGCTGCTGCACTCTTTGAGGTGTCTGCTGCGGCTGCTGCTGCTGCTGCAGCGCGCAGCAGCACAAGGGCATCGTATTAGCTGCTATTGCCTGTAAAGGTGATAGCACAAACTGTATATATAGTTTACTTTTATATAGTATATAGAGGATATCTATACTGTATATTGTATGTAGAGATATGCCATATAGGGTATATAGGCAATATATATACATACATATACACTATATATACTGTTTACATACTACATA